AAAAAAAAAAAAAATTTAGGAATCATTCAGAATTTTGTGGGCATCATCCCTACGGATGGATTGCGTCACCTCTAGCCTGTTTGGGAGGATCAGGAGCTTATAAGCTCCAAATCTTATTTCCTAAACATGCTTCTAATCACAAGGAAGACTCAGAACTCTTGATGATAAAGAATTCATCCAAAATCCTTTGGATTATGAAAGTTAGATGTCTATTTACAGGCTCAGAGAAATCTACTTCAACTGGAATTAGACTCAAATAAAGAATCATAAGATAAGCCTTCTAAGATTCAACTTGTAACTCCTAATCTGTCTCTAAAATGTGAAAGGCCTTGAAATAAGTCTCTTAACACTAATGCAGATTTATCTGCAATTTTAGAATTCTCAGAATCCCTTTGACTGAAAAACTAAAAACCACACAAATTGATCAACATCTAAATAAACTGATTAAAAAGCATAAACTAATATATGTGTTTTTTATGTCTCAGTTATCGCTATTTACTTTTTAGTGAGAAGTCATTAAACTTTAACTTTGTGAATGTCAATGGAGTGATCTAATCTTTATAAGTGGCAATTGCAACACTTGTATATCATCATACATTCTGAATTTAGTCTGTACTTGAGCTGTTCAAATTTATACATTGTGTCCGATATTGTTAACGAACATTCCTTGTTGGTTTATTTTTATGAAGTGGCATTAACAGCCTGAAGAACTGGCACACTTTTACCTCTTTATATTGAAAACTTGTTTGTCAAAGATTTATTTAAAATCAATTTTCCACAAAATCATTTTCACCCCCACATTATATGGAATCTACAACTTCTCCCCACTTTTAACCACTTATTCTCCTAAAAAATCATCTTTCCCATGGAAAATCTGTACCAAACAAGCTTTAAATCTTTCAATAACTCTGATTTAAGAATGATTGTTTCGAACTTTTGTCTTAAGATTGGAATAAAGTCACTTGTTGTCTGCCATGAATTAAATCTGATTGGCTTTATAATGGAAGCCTTTTCTGAGGAAGTTAGAGGAACGTGCTCTATCTGCTTCTGTATTCATTGGTGTGAGATGTTTCCTTCTTTATCCTTGGGATTATTTCACATTATGCTACTTTTGTATATTTTTCACAGATTGAGCTTGCTGACAAACAAGCAGCTGTGGAAAAATTAGAATGGGAATCAACAACTTCCAGCAAAAAGGTGGAGAAGCTCCAGGAAGATCTAGAAATGGCAGAAGGACAGGTTTCATCTATGATGGTATTGATTCAAGGCTTGGCCAGGACTTGTTCTGCCCTTTCGGTTGAAGACTATGTTGATGTGCCTCACCCTCTTGACCATGATCATGGTTTAGTAAGTTATCAATCATAGCACCAATCCTTCCCTTTACATACCTCTTCCTTCCCCCACTTTAAGCCACAAAGAAATAAAAAGAAACAAGAAAGAAACAATGTTTCCCTAAAGCCAACCCATTTCAACTTGTACATTTAAGAAAAAGGAAAACTTGGATGCTTGAGCCTTGAAGTGATGTATACATATGCATCACATTTTCTCCCCCAGTGAGGAAGGGCATTGGTGACGGTCTTGTACTATTATCTGCAATCAAGGTCTTACACCATAATTTTGAGACAAAATAGTCTGACAAATAGTTCAGTGTGATTTGGGTGCCCAATTAAGTACCAATTAAACCCCACTGTTCTTCTGAGATATTAATATACACAATGTAGTTTGGGGAACTATGCTTGTTCTTAGGAAAAAAGCCCTTTGCCTCTTGTCTCTTTGAAAAAGAGGTGATAAATCCCATGTAGTTTCAAACAGCAATAAGCCATTTAATGCTTTTATTAACTTGGCTGCTGAGCCACTCTTTCTTTGACAAGAGGTATATCGCTCGCTTGAGAATGAGATTTTACCAAATCTATTTTCAAATCCTTGTTTTTTCTTTCTCCAATATAGTTGAGCTTTATCGAACAAAAAGAAAAGAAAGGGGAAAATAGTGAACTGTGTAACTGCACTTTAGGAAAATTGTACAAGAATGGGTTTGCTAGAAACAGGACATAGGGACATCTGCATTTAGTTTGATATAATGGATTGGTTGAAGGCCTTAGGCAACAATGAATACAGAAAGAAAGTGGGAAGATGAATGGGGACATCAATTGTGTTGGCACTGTGGTGTTGACTTTACTAGATCCACCAACAATTTATTCCTTGTTTGGTGGGGATTAAAATCATATTTTTAGTAGATTTTGATAAAAGTTGATGAAATTTGTGGTTAAAATTGTATTTTGACCTTGACTTAGATTAAAAACAAGATTTTATGCTACCAAACAGGGGCTTGGCATGTTTTTATTTTCACAAAAGTTCATACAATTAGTGGATATCTATTTTAAGGGGCACTTTAATATATTTGTGATTGATGTTAATAACTTAGCACTTGTGGTTCATAGCCAAGTTAATAAAAGTTGGGGCTATTTGTTCTTCTTAAAACCTAAAGTTGATAAATTGGTTTCCTTTGATTTGAACTAAGAGAATATGAGGATAAAACCTTAAACATGGAATGCGCCGCTTTAATACTCTTTGTAGGTTGTCAGCTCAATGTATTCATGGGAATTTAACTGATTTATACTTATTTTTACTGCATGAATTTGAACTTGGTTTGTGCAGGATGATTTAAATGAAATCGGAAGGCAAAAACTGGAGGCAGCAAGGGAAGCTTATATTATTGCTGTTGCTGCTGTAAAGGAAAAGCAAGACGAAGATTCTATTGCTGCGGCTGCCAATGCTAGACTACATCTACAATCACTTGTTTTGAAACAAACTTAAGCACCAGAGGCTTTGTTACATTAATAATGCC